TTTCAAATTGAGGTTTAGTCCGTGCAAAGCCTCTGGAAACCTTGCACGGCCGTGCATAGCTCGTGCACATTTTCTAGCATGCACTTCTAAGCTCCGTTTGAGCTCGTTTGACCTTCGATTCATGTGTCGTTTGATCCTAAATGCTCGTGGTCTCGTCCTCTTTCTTTTTATGACAAGATTACATAATTATGTGTCCATAAAATGAGGTATAAATCCATTCTTCTTTCGTACATGCCCAAGTTTATTCTCCTGAGTCGCCATTTGATCTCCGATTGACTTGAAACTTGCGCATTTGCTTCACTTTGTTGAGAGAAAGCCTGTCAATGGTCCCAAATGGATCATAACAAAGAGATGGATTGTTTATCAAACTCAGAATAGGAAAGGAGGATCAACCTGCAAGGCTGGCCGATTACAGGAAATATCACTCGAGCAAAGATGGAAAGTGTTCAAATCAAATATGTGCATAAATGGAAGGTGATCAACGACTAGTAGATGATCAATATAAGAAGCAAAGCATCGTAGAAAGGACGATCATCTTTTCGTGAAATCAAAACCAAGAGATAGCAAGGAAGAGCTGTAGTGTTTTGAAAGAAAAAAACCATGTTGAGAATTCGGAGAGAATCTCGGTTTAAAAGGGTTGGGGAAACTCTTATGGGTTCTTAGCAGGATTGCTAGATTAAAATGTGAGACTCAGATTTTAGTTCAGGAGTGGGTTAAACTCTTATTGTTAGGATAACCTTTGTATCGAGCTTCACAGATACATATTCGTAGTAAGCTGTCGGAGATCACAAGAGAGTGATTCTCTGACCATGGATTAGTCGGTATTGCACTTTGCATACCAGATACCACACAAAAATTATGTGTGTCGTCTCTATGCCAAGCTTGATTTACATACTCTGTTTTTTAATTACTAATTGGGTTACAGGGGAAGGAGATTTTGATTGATTGAAGGAGAACGAAGACCAGACATCAAAATGACAGCGTCGTCGTTGAAGATAGGCACCAGATCGGTTGAAGGGGGCCTAAAAGTGTTCTGATACAAATCTCAGCCCACGACCTCTTCGTCAATCCCAAACAATCTCTAAACCTCCCTTGTCCATTAGCAACAAACCTGTTATACAAAAATCCTTCTTAGATCAAAATATCATTCTCATTCATCTGCTTTGTGTTGCTAGGGTTCTTCAGAAGAAACTATCCAACCCACGCACAAGAGAAAAAGAGGAGGAATATCGCGCTCGATTCCACCAACATGTGGTATCAGAGCCCCTTGCCATTAAAGAAGGTCCAACTGATCTTCGATTATATCCACAATGGCATCAGGATCTACAAACAATGGTCAATTGTACTTGGCTTATGGTTTTTCACAAAATCGCCCTTGGTGATTTGAAGGAGTAAACTACGAGTATCAGAAGAATCAAATGGAGTTGTTTGTTGGATCTTCCAACCCAAAGCTTTGCGCTAGGGTAATCCAGGGTCCACACAAGCTTAAAGCATATCAAGAGAAGTGGTACAATGAAGACTTTGAGAAGTTTTAGCAGAATTGCAAAGCGACAAATCTAATGTACTGTGCGCTTGGTCTAGAAGAATTCCACAAAGTGGCGGAATGCAAGAATGCCAAAGAAATCTGGGACAAGCTGCAAGTGACTTATGAATGTACATAACAGGTTAAGAGATCTTGTAAAAGATGGAAGAAGGTGAAATGATTAGAAAAATGTACGAGAAGTTCACAAATATTGTAAACAATCTGGAGAATTTGGGAAAATCCAATGAGAGTGGAGATCTCGTAAGGAAGATTCTTTGGAGCTTACCTGAAAATGGACTCTTAAGGTTACTTGCATCGAAGAGGCAAAAGACCTATAGAAGTTGGCAATTGACGAGCTGATTGGTTCTCTAACCACACATGAATATAAACTGAACAAGACTGGTCGAGAGAAGGAAAGTGTCGAGAAGGGAAAAAGAGGGGTGGCCTTCAAGGTTACCAATTCACTAGAAGATTTAGAAGAGCTCGACAAAATGGAGGATGAAGAGTTGGCGCTCTTAAGTAAACAAATAAGTCGTCTACTTGGAATAAGAAAAGAGAAGCGTCTTGGAGGACCTGGAAATAAATCCAAGGACTATGAGAGAAATGAAGGAAGTGCTAAGGGATTTCAAGCTATGACTCAAGCTAGAGGTCCCAGCAAACTCACCCATAACTTGAAAGGTGTGAAGGCCTTAGAGTGCTTCCAATGTGGAAGAATAGGGCACATCAAAGCTGAATGTTCACAGTTGAAGAAAGAATGAGCTCTTACTGCCACTTGGAGTTGTAGTGAAGATGAAGGAGAGGAAGATGATGAAGTTACAATTCATAGATAGTACATGGCCATCGCTGAAGTAGAGGAAGAAGCAACACCTTCAACCATTGACCCAAATTAATTAAGTATCTTTGGAAACTCACTTGAATCATAATACTATAGTGATGATATACTAGTTGACACCATAAGAGACATTCATATTGATTTTAATAATGTTAAAACCAAGTACCACAAACTAAAAAGGGATATGAAATGAATATAAAGAAGATAGCAGAGTTAGAATCAAGTTTGGCAGCTAGTAAACTAAGTGAAATTGAACTCAGAAACAAGGCACAGAACCTGCAAGTGGAAAATGAGAGATTCAAAATGAGTGCACATACCACAGAAAGGAATTACAACTTAATCAAGGAAAATCATATTATCACGGGAGTAATTACACATTTTCAAATGTAAGTTCTAATGAAACTTGATGTTACTATTATCATAAAGCCGGTCATGTTATTAAGAATTGCAGAAGAAGGTTGTGGTCAGAAGCAAAGAAAAATACATACAGTACATATCCTCATTATTATTTTAGTCATCCGAATAGTAGACACTCCTAAGACTATCAAAACACAAGGACCCAAGAAAATCTGGGTGCCAAAAACCAAATGAGTTGTCTGTTTGCAGTGTTGTCTTCAAGTGAGCATGGAGGCAACAAAATGGATAGCGGATGCTCACACCACATGACAGGTAACAAGTTACTTTTCTCTACTCTTAAGTTAGGAAATTTTGGGAAGGTATATTTTGGTGACAACAATTCAGCAAACATTATAAGAAAGGGTCAAGTTGGAACTAGTCCATCCATAAAAATGTTATGTTGGTTGATGGGTTAAAACACAATCTCATGTCTATTAGTCAAATGTGCGGAAAAGACTGTAGAGTCATATTTGAGCCCACTTGTTGCTATGTTGAAAACATTAAGAATAAACAGGTCTTGTTCACTAAAAAGTGAAATGGAAAGATCTACACAATAGACTTAAATGATAAAGATAGCTTTAATGAAACTTGTTTGGTAAGTCTGGATAGAAGTGAACAAGAGGAATGGCATAGGCGTCTTGGTCATGTAAATGTTAGCATTCTGTCAAAACTTGTCAGATTAGAACTGGTTAAGAACCTACCTAGAATCAATAAAAAGGACTTCTTTTGCGATGCATGTGCTAAAGGAAAACAGACTAGGTCTAGTTTTAAGAGCAAATCTGTAATTTCCACTACCAGACCATTAGAGCTGCTTCACTTGGATCTGTTTGGTACAGCGAATGTGATAAGCTATGGAGGTAAATCTTATGCCTTTGTGATTGTGGATGATTTTTCAAGGTTCACCTTGGTAATGTTCTTAACTCAAAAGGATGAAGCCTTTCTGAAGTTTAAAAACCTGGTGAAATGTGTTGAAAATGAGAAAGAGTCAAAACTCTGTAGCATTCGTAGTGACCATGGTGGTGAATTTTGCTCAGACCCCTTTGAACTATTTTGCATTGATCTAGGCATTTCTCATAATTTTTATGTCCCTAGAAATCCTCAACAAAACGGATTCGTTGAGTGGAAAAATAGGACTCTTATTAACATAGCTCGTACCATGCTTCATAATTATGGAATTCCCAAGTACTTCTGGGTTGAAGCTATAAACACTACGTGTTATATTATGAATAGAGCCTTATAAGATCAGGAATTAATAGGACCCCTTATGAACTCTGGAAGGAAGGAAACCTAATCTTGGTTATTTCCACCTTTTGGGTGTTTAAAGTTTTGTGTTAAACACTAAGGAATATCTAGTTAAATTCGACTCGAAGTCAGATGAATCTATTTTTCTAGGTTATTCCACGACAAGCAGGGCTCATCGAATTTTTAACAAACGGGCCCTCAAAGTGGAGGAGTCCGTCAACGTGATATTTGATGAGTCTGTTGTTGAGGTTACAGATGACTTGGATGATGATGATTTTTGCCTTGAGAGAATTTCAGCCTCCAACCTAAATGGAGGGTCAAGTGATAAACAGACAGGTGAAGCACAAGGGCAGAAGTTAACCATCCTTCAGCTGAAGAAGATCTGCACCAGAAGAACATTGAAGACAGCTCTGAAGGAAAGGATGAAAACTCAGGCGTGCAACCTCCAGCACACATCATCAAAAGGCACCCTTCTACCCAAATTATTGGATCATTGGACCAAGCTATGACTACTCGGTCTAGGGCTATGCCCTCCTTCATTGCCTTTGTGTCTCTAATTGAACCTGGAAATGTCCAAGAGGCTCTCCAGGATGAATTCTGGACAACTACTATGTTTGAGGAACTGCATCAATTTGAAAGAGCCAATGTGTGGGAACTTGTACCCAAACCTGAAAAATTGGGTAATCATAGGTACCAAGTGGATTTAAAAGAACAAGTCGAATGAAATAGATATAATTCTTAGAAACAAAGCTAGGTTAGTAGCTCAAGGCTATTGTCAAGAAGAAGGAATATACTTCGATGAAACCTTTGCTCCGGTAGCTCGTCTAGAAGCCATTCGCATGTTGTGTGCATTTGCTAGTTCTAAGGAAATTATATCAAATGGATGTAAAAAGTACCTTCTTGAATGATGATTTAAAGGAGGAAGTCTATGTCTCTCAACCTCCTGGGTTCGAAAATCATAGATTCCCCAATCATGTCTATAAATTAAAAAAGGCCTTATATGGTTTAAAGCAGGCTCCTAGAGCCTGGTATGATAAACTAATGGGCCGTTTAGTTGCCATTCCATTTCTGTTAGCTGTCACAACAGAAAACAAAATTGAAATGAAAACGAAGCTGCCATTTTCTGGAAAACAAAACCTGAAAAAATCTTGTTTAGCTGAGAATTTTGGTGAGTTCTAAAACTGAATTCTGAAGATGAAAACATGTTTAGTTGCTTCATATTGTTTTCTGATTCTTGAATACCACAATTTTGTTCATTGAGTACCATACAAACATAGCCATGATTATAATTCGAATTAAATAGTTTTTAAACTACAAATAAACACAATACAAGTACAACATCTTATATTAATTAAGTACTAGTACAACATAAAAATTCAAATAAGTCCAGCTTGAAAGCCATGCCACAACTTGAGTATCATACAACTCTAGTCATGATTATATATTTTAACACGAATCAATAGTTTAACCACTAATAAACACAATACATGTAGAAACAATGTATATACTAGTTTATTTTTTATATGATAGTGAGTAAACACAAAATCCTATCATTATAAACACATTTAAAATAAAATAATGTTTTTAATCTTTATTTAATTTAAATTCATATATTTTATAATTGAGGTTAAATAATGTAGAAAAGTGAAATTTTGTAAACGGGTAAACAATTTCGGTGGGTATACATAGAAAAAAAAAAGTTTGGATTAAAAAATTTACACATGGTAAATTACTATTTGATGGGAAATTACTAAGCCAAAACCGCCAAGCAAATTAACTAAAAAAAGCTAAAACGAGAATTGGGGGAAGCCTCCCAGGCTTGCAAAACAAGAAAGGAAAAAAAAGAAGTAGCTGGCAGGATTCGAACAGGGGGACTCATAAGTGCACAGTGACAATTTTCCGCCAGGCAACGGGGAGAAACCCGTGTCATAGTTTCCCCAAAACGTCTTTTTATTGTTTTCCGCCAGCTACCTCATTTATGGCATTCTGGTTTCCCAACGAAAATAGAAATTAGAAGTGAACATGTTTTCTGCTATTTGTTTCTTGATTCCTATTTTCACAACAAAAAACAGAAAACAAAATGGGAAGTGAACAGGACATTAAAGTTCCTTCCTTTTGGAAAATGGTTTTCGAAGGGGCTTAGTGGATAAAACCCTGTTTATCAAACAAAAGAATAAACACATCTTGCTGGTTCAATTCTATGTCGACGACATAATTTTTGGAGCCACTTGTGATAGTTTATGCAGAGAATTTGAAACCAAAATGAAAGGTGACTTCGAAATGAGTCTAATGGGTGAATTTAACTTATTTCTCGGTCTCCAAATTAAGCAAACTTCTGCAGGTATTTTCATTAATCAGTCTAAATATATAGTTAATATGCTCAACAAATTTGATCTCGAAAATCTAAAATATGTTGTAACTCACATGGCGTCAGCGATTAAACTTGACAAGGATGAGTCAGGATTAGCTTTGAATGAAGAACTTTATCGTGGGATGATTGGGTCCCTACTCTATCTAACTGGTAGTCGTCCTGACATCAGGTTTAGTGTGTGCATGTGTGCTCGATTTTGAAGCTCTCTCAAGGAGAGTCATCTGTCTGTAGTAAAATGGATTTTTAGATATTTAAGTGGGGACTTGTAGTTTAGGATTGTGGTACTCTCGAGATTCCAGCCTAGAGCCCATAGGTTACTCTAATTCTGCCTATGCTGGATGCATAGTGGATTGCAAGAGTACATCAGGCACATGCCATTTTCTAGATTCTCCTCTCATGTCCTGGTTCAGCAAAAAAAAAATTCGGTGGCTCTCTCCACTGCAGAGGCTGAGTACATTGCAGCAGGAAGCTGATGTACTCAGCTAATGTGGATGAAACATCAATTATAGGACTATGGTTTAAAGTTCGATCGACTTCTTATTCTATGTGATAACACCAGTGCAATCAACATGACTAAAAACTCAATTCAACATTCTCGAAAAGTTTCGTTATCATTTTATTAGGGATCTAGTTGAGGAAGGAAAAATCTCTCTCGAATTTGTTCCCACAACTTGCCAGTGGGCTGATATCTTCACCAAACCCTTGGGATCAAAAGAATTAGGAATATTTTCTTGGTTAGAGGTGGATAATCTCTTGATCTTATGATTTTCACTTTCCTTAGTAAGGTCGTTTTCCCTCTTATTTAGGGTCAACTTTCTTTCTTCCTTCCTAGTTGCCTCGTCTGTTCTCCCTGTTACCCTTCCTTAATTGCTTATGACTTTCCATATTTCCCTGCTTCCAAGCCTATATTAAGTCTTGCGTCAGATTCTAGGTTTCTCATCTTTTTACTCTCATTCTTCCATCATCTTCTTGCAAAAATGGCGGTCGCTCAACCCCAGGTTCCATTGCTTCTGGCCCAAGCTGTTATCTTCAATGGAAAAGGGTTCAGAAATGATGAGGAATATGCTTGGTATTTGCTCAAATTTCAAGATTTTCCTCTGTGTCCCTCGGTCTCCCTAGATCACTCCCGCTTCAATCGGTATGGGATGAATATTCCTGCTCTAATTAATGCTATTGGTTGGTCAGAACTGCCTCTCGAGCAATCCTTTAGCTTTTTTTCCTGAGCAGTATGCATGTTTTAAGCTAACATGCCGCCGTGCTACAACACAAACCCTCTCTCATTCACTACCATAGTTTACAAATATCTGCTCACCGTCTTAGTGGATATTTTGGCGTACCTGCTTGGGATTCCTATCACTGGAATAGCAGTCATGAATGAGGATGATTTCATGGATGTTGCATTCAATAAGATCGAAGCCATTCAGAATTACACTCTTAATATTGGAAATAATTATCCCTCGATGTTTTCCTCCGGTCATCTTCCAGATGATCTCAAAGTTTTGCACTTCTACATCACTAGGTTTGTCCTCCCTTGTTCCCATGGTCTTTCTACTATCTACCCCATTGATCTTTGGATTATGGCCATTGCTAAGGAAAATCGCCTCATAAGCTATCCTCACCTCATGTTCAATCCTATGATCCAGTACTATGATGATAACTATAATGAGGCCCTTCCCTTTGCCCCTCAAATCACCTTGATGCTTCGTTCCCTTGGCCTGGATATTCGCTTTAAGGTCTCTCGCGTCAATCGCATGGATACTCTTCGTGCTCAGTTTGTTCTTCGCAAGGTGGATGCCCTTGTTGGCCGTCGTCATCCCAGGGTCAATGCTTCAAAGGAAGATAACACTACTGCCAATGTAGTTCCCTTACCTGTGAGGATGGACTTAGTCTTGGGTAGAATCTCCAACCTATCTGTTCTAATCTAGGTAGAATCGCAGGGGGAGTTCCTTTTCGGGTTCAAGCTAGGTAGATTAGTAGGGGGAGTCTTTTTTTGAAGGTTGAATGTTGGAGTCTTGTTCGGTCAATAAATCTCAGTTGTTGGCAGAGCATTGGAGTGTGTTTTCCCTTAGAGTTATCTGTCTTTTCGTTTCTAAAGTCAGGTTTCTTATGTAGTCCATCTTTTCTGAAGAATAATAAAAGAACTCTCTTCTGTGTGAAATACTTGTGTTCTTAGTATAAAATAGTCTGCACGTAACCGTGTGTTCAAGTGTGTGTAGGAACTACAGGTGCAACAAGAGGAACCATTGACTGGCTTATGGGGAGATTGTTGAGAGCAAGCCTGTCAATGGTCCAAAATGGATTAGAACCAAGAGATGGCTTGTTTATCGAACTCATAATAGGAAAGGAGGATCAACCTGCAAGGCTGGCCGATTACAGGAAATATCACCTAAGCAAAGATGGAAAGTGTTCAAATCAAAGATGTGCAGAAAGGGAAGGTGATCAATGGCTAGTAGATGATCAGTATAAGAAGCAAAGTAAAGTAGAAAAGAAGATCATCTTTTTCTTGAAATCAAAACCAAGAGTTATAATGTTTTGATAGAAAAAGCCAGGTTGAGAATTCAGAGAGAATCTCATTTTAGAAGGGTTGGTCAAACATGAAAAAAAATTATAAGTTTCAGGATGTGTTTATCTTCTTAAAATTTTATAAAATACAATCATCATGCAATTTATGAAGGATGTTAAAATACCATAGCGAAAAATCGTTCATGATTCTGCAACTCATTTTATTTTGAAGGGTTTTTTTCACTTTGTTCATTACGGTCTCTTTCAACACTTACAATGACAACCGATAACAACAAATATCCATAAGTTTCCAGTTTTTGTTTATATTAAACTCACTTACAGAATATATGATTAAAATTTTACTCTACATTTTTTGGGCCAATGTGGTGCAAATGGCAATACGTTTTTCATAATATTATGTACAATAATATGAAAATCTTGTACTCAATCCACAATCACCTAAAAAATTTACTACATTTATTGGGCCAAGGTGGTGCAAATGACCCACCTTGGCGACCAGTGGTGGACCTAGAGATTTCATAAAGTATACAGATTCATCAATCATCAAAGCAAGCAACAATGTGTTTATATAATAAATTTTTAAAAATAATAATTACATTTTCATGCTTCCGCCATTGACCTAGCTAAGATTGATTTTTTTGAAAATAAGGGTGGTATATGTTTGTCTTTTTTATAGTTAGGTACGACTTAAGAGATTCGAATCTGTGACTTTTAGATTCCAGACCAATGGTGCTACCACTATACCAAGCCTTGATTCTTCGCAATCCTTTGAAGGCCTCAATCATATGGACATACGTAGCCTTAATCTTTTTTCTTAACATGAATTAATTTAGATTCTAGGAATGAAATCAGTAGTAAATACATTTGATTGTATTTTTATAACAATAATGACATTGTAGCTTACGAAAACATTCAGTTTAAAATTGTAAGGGTTGTCAAAGGGTTAAGTGTTCAACTACAATAACTGCCAATAAAAATTTCAACACTGTAACTTTGTCCCAAATTTATAGTTAAGGTTTTTCAATTGACAACCCTAAACTATAAATAGGCCCGCCCCTGTTGGCGACAGTGGCTCCGCCACTATGTGGACGGGTGTAGATTTAGAATCATTTTTATCTAACATAAAGTGATGACTCATCCATTTATGAAAATAAATGAAACATAAAAATTGAATAACAAAAGAAGAAGCAAGCCGACAACTACAAATTTGTCATCATCTCTGCCGCCGAAAGGGAAGAAGGGAGAGAGCAATGCAGTCAAAATCGCGTTTAAAAACTTAAAAACTTACGATTTTACGCTTTTAGGTCACCAAAACGCTTTCGTTTCCATATGAAAACTTCAGTATATAAAAACGGACTAAATTGCGCTTTAAAGCTTAAAAGCTTACGGTTTTACGCTTCTAGTTCTCCAAAACGCTTTACGTTTTTACGCTTTTAGTTCACTAAATGAGTATTCTTTTCATGAAATTAATTATAAAAAGTATATTTTAAAAGTAAATCACCAATAATATGATACATATGAGATTAAAAGATACATATAAGGTACTTGTATGCATTCTCAACTTCGATAGAGTAATCTAATTCACCCGTTAGGCTTTTCCCAAGTTCATTAGCATAGTGGGAAAAGTGGCTTATTGTTAAAAATTTATGTTTACAAACTTATTATTAAGATGCTATAAGTTGTTCTACTTTAGGCATGAATCGCATGTACTTATTGACTTATTTAAATTCTGTGCATTCATATTTTGCATAGCATATGCCCTACTTAATACATTTTTAGTTATTTTTCAGTATGCGTAAAAAACTTACGCTTTTACGCTTTGATTCTATGCTTTACGAGTTTACCCCTTCTCCGCTTCTAGGTAGAATCACGCTTTTGACTGCATTGGGAGAGAGAGAGAGAGAATAGTGGTGGCATATATGATCACCACCACCAAAACATAAGAGGAGATATATATATATATATATATATATATATATATATATATAGAGAGAGAGAGAGAGAGAGAGAGAGAGAGAGAGGGAGAGAGCTATAATCAGGGCGAGATAGAAGGTATCAAGTAGCAGAGACGGTAGATATGGCCATAATCACTGGAAATTCAGAGAAGAATAAGAGAGTGGCAGCTGGAATTAGGGGGGAGAAAGATAAACGAGCGATGAAGAATCACATGTTTAGATAGAGAAAGATATTAGGTGGTAGAGAATGTTGGAAAATTGGAAATTCATTATTTACATTTAAAGAACTTTTCAAATTTCAAAACTATAATTTTCTCTCATTAATGGTTAATGGATATTTTGAACAATCATATTGAATAATAATTGAATTTATAGTCATTCTTGTGGTGAGAATACTTTAGTCATTTTACTAAACAAATAAGCTCATATGATATTCACTCTCAGGAGTTAGATATTGTGATTCAAATTTTTAACTCATATAAGTGTCTTGTCCATCAAAATGCAAAATATTTTTTTTTTCTTCTAACGTCGACTAAGCGACCTAGGCGTTAAGCAAGACCCAACGTCCGTCTTACACTTAGTGGCTTCTTGAATCTTGGTTAAGAGACGATGAAATCTTAGTTTCTCTAGTTATATCAAATATCTTATGTGTCTTCGTACTTTTATATGTTTTAGATTTTGTGCAGCATTGTTTATTTATTATCGGATTGTATTTTATATGCACAATAAACTCGAAATTTTTATTTACGCTAAACATAAATTAACTTTCGCGCCATTTTTAAACCAAAGCTATAATGGAAATTTAAAAACTCTCACGTTATGTCAAATAACTTTTGATTTCAATGTCATGGCCAGACCGTGTCACGACCTTTTATCATTAGTTTGGCACTGCAAGATGCTCTTACATGTGTCATAAAAAAACTGTCTGAGGTCTACAAATTGATTTGTTTATGTTACCACCTAAAAAGTCTTTTCGCACCGACTTCAAAATGATCTATAACGGAAAAATGCTCATAGTTGTTATAAATAAAGTCTTTAATTCCGTACACTAGTTAGTTCACTTTTGCAATCCTAATATATTTGCGGTGTTAAATTTAAATGAAATTATACTTAAAAAGTAGACTTTCATGTCTTGTAATTTATAAGACATAAACCTACTTAATTCCCTGTCATATAAGTAATTGGTTTCAAATGTCCATGTCTATATTTAATACGTTGCCATATATGTAAAATTGGTTTCTAATTTTCACGTATACATTTATCTACTTGTCGAGATTTGAACAGGTAAACTGTTCATTGAATGAAAACGCTCTGACGGATGGAAATTGATTTACGACCGCCGACGACCGTGATTGACCCCTCTGGCCGGCCGCCAGACCCTCTACCGCCTGGGGTGAGGATACTGGGAAGAGGACCGGGAGGGGGAGAAGCGACGAACTTCTGCTATCCGCCGACGAGCCAGGAGGGTATCAAGGATCTGCAAGGTTTACCTCTGAGCCAACCGAGAGAACCAGGTTCTTCCCAGCCTCCGACAAGCCAACCGGCGATCTCTTACGCCGGAGCAGACTCAGGCAGGAGTTTGGAGGAACAGAACAAGGTAGTCCGATGGACACCAGTGGGAGCAAATGATATATCGCCAGGGACACACCAAGGTGAGCCTGCACTCATGGTTTCAGAGGATTTCAGATCGCGTCTCTGCGTTCCCTGGCAAAAAACTCTGGTGGTCCGGATTCTAGGGCTCCGAGTGTCATATACAACCTTTTACAATAAGATCAGGGCTCAATGGAGGCCGACCGGAGCCATGGAAATATGGGCTCTAGGCCGAGAATGTTTTTTGGTGAAACTTAACAATGAAGCGGATTATCTGCGTGCGCTTACAGATGGACCATGGACTATTTTTTATCATTATATGGTGGTGCAACGGTGGACGCCGAGCTTTAGACTCTCTGATAAGCTCCCAAAATCAATGGTGGTCCCGGCCCTCCCTATGCATTTTTATCACAAGGAGGTCCTGTTCTGTTTGGGGAACATGATTGGAAGAGCCATCAAGCTGGATTATCACACCTTGCATCATGAAAGAGCCAAATTTTCCCGGATTGCGGTGGAGGTAGACCTATCCAAACCTTTAGTCCCCCGCATATGGCTCGACGGAGCTTGGCAATATCTGGAATACGAAAACCTGCCGGTGGTGTGTTTTGAATGCGGCAAGGTTGGCCACACGTCCAACACCTGTCCCTCTCTGCAAGCTAATGTTCAGAACAATCCCGAGAGGAGTTTGGCAACGGTACCGACAAACACTCCGGCGCCGGAGAAAGGTGACGACGAAAAATCTGGATTCGGCCCTTGGATGCAAGTATCCCGCAAATCACGGCGGGGGAACAGGATCGGGGAGAAAAGGCAAGAGGGTACTTTCACGGGTAATAATTTTCGCAAGGAAGAATCCACGGGGGGGGGGGGGGGGGGGGGGGGGGGGGGTACAAATAGGAAAGGGAGATGGGTTACAAAAGGAAACGATGGGCAAACATGGCAATGGACAACGGTAGAAAGCAGGAGTCGCACAACGGCAAAAGGAAAAGACGGAAGTCCCGGCAAGGGTTTTAAACGGTACAATAACACCAAAGGGGAAGGAGGTTATGATGGAAGGGGGCTCTTCGTAGGGGAAGATGGTGGAAGGCATCTTGGGCCCCCACCCTGAAAAATTTATTCCCCAGCCTG